AACTTCAAAATTGTTTTACACAGTCTAGAAATTCACGCGAATCTCTGAATCTAATTCGCACAAGGATTCTTGGAAGAGCTTACGCTGCAAATCTACAAGGATTCATTTTAAATTTTTGTAAAAAAAATAATAATAAAACAGAATTGTCGCGTCGACTGTTGCATGTCACTCAGGGTGTTTTGAATTTTTATGACTTGCCAGTACATTATAGAATACTACATGTATAATAAAATAGAATATTTGTGGTGGGTTTTTTTCCTGTTTACTTCTAACTTATAATTCTGACAAGTTTCTGGCTGGCCGTTGTCTTTTGTTTTTATGTTATGTAGTGAATTGTGTGGAAAATTCCCTGATCCCAACACAGCGTCCTGTAGAAGTAGAGCATTTATTTTAATCCCTCTTAAATAATACTTAAAAGAAACTGCTTTAGCAGCCAAACCTTAAAACAAAATAATTTTGGGTTCCATTTTTTCCTTTCGAGCGATTTGATTCCTTTAGTTCCACGTCAATATAATGGGGTTAAATTGGTTTTTTCGGACATAAACTATATTCCTTTATTATAATACTTTGTGCTGTTATCAATTAACACAATAAACACAATTTTGTTTTGTAGACATTATTATTAAGATTTGGAGGATTCGCGCAGATTACATGTACATATATGAGAATCCTCTTAGATTCTCCCAAAAATTGACTAATTTCTAGCCCTGCTTAGAACTGAAGTGGAGTAGAGCAGTATTTTCATATTGCAGCTTAATAGGAAATATGGTACCCTTTAATCAATTTTTATGATTAGTTCCTATTGTAACATGTTATAAAATCTTTTGATCAAATAAATTTTATGTTTGTTCCCTGTTGTAAAGTGGCTGATTTAAAATCTACATCTATATCACATTCATACATAGGATGTATATGTACTTTAAATAACCAGTCTAAATAGGAATTAATTGTAATATTGTTTTAAAAATTCCACCTCATTATGAATCACTTATCTGATATTGTACGTCCTGAAGGAAATTGTGACCAGTAACTAGAATACATGCCCTATGGTTTTTAACATGCAATCAAAATTGTATGTGATAGCAGTTGGTGTTTGATTAAAATGGTATTATGCAAGAAATAAATCTGCCTATTGCAGGTCTCTCTTTGGGCATTAAATGTTACATAGATTATTAGACATTTATAAACTTAAGACCATAATCAACTTCTGATGCCATCGGATGGCTCCGATTTTAAATAGATTAAAACGGTCCATTTAATGATTTAAATTGAAATGGAGAAGCGAGGCTAAGACTCGAATCACCAGTACAGTGGTTATGATCAATGCACGCTTCTTGTCAAAACTGCCACCATTGGCGCAAAATAAAGTAATTTGAATGAAATTTTAAATATTCACATTACATTATCTATTTTTGAAAAATTATAGAGAGAATGGCCAGCTCTTTATCTAAATCTTACAAAAAGACCCTGTTATTTATATAAGGAAGCATGATCATGATGTGAATGAGCGATGGGTTGATCCGTAGTTGACAACTCTTATATGCACATATGGCAATGTGGTCGTATATTGCTGTCGACTACATTTGTATGTCTGTTGTCCGTCATCCACAATTGATGTCTGTTTACATTAGTGAGATGATGTCTAATTTCAATAATTTCCGTTAATTTCTTCTGGGGTTATGGCCCTTGTTTCACTTAAACTAGTGAAACAAAGAAACCGATTGAATTACAGCAATTTTCGTTAATTATTTCTAGAATTATGGCCCTTGTCTCACTCAGGGCTGCTGACAACCAGTATCGCAGCGCAATTTTCGATACATATTTTGTCCGTTGCTGATTAAAAATTATAATCTAACGTTTTTGGTTCACAGTGACTGCGAATCATTAATATGACTGTCATTTTGGATATTGACACAAAAATTTATCCACATTTTGAAGACTAGAAGGCTTTCTCAAAACTTTCAACGTGTATAAAATGTCAAATAAAATTTTATAAACAAAACCGAATTCTCTGACAGTTTCTTCTCGAACTACCCAGACACAATTTATTATGCTATATAATACAGGGACATAACTCTATGAATAGGGACTATTAAACCGGAAATAAGAAATCAAGTAGTACATGTACCACTCATGTTGCGAACATGTCAATTTTTGAGTAATTATAGTATTTAATTTGAAAAAAAAATAATCCAGTGTATTCCCCACGTATTGTAAATAAAATGTAAAAAAATAAATACATGTAAACGTATTGTAAAATGAGAAATCAAAGTAAGAATTCCTGTAAAATATTGTTTATATCGCGTGTGGCTATATTAATCGAGTTTATTGGTTAATTTCCTCGTGTGTCCGATTGAACAAATATAGTAACACACGATAAAAAGCAGACGGAATTTGTTTTCTAACGAAGAAATGACAATTAAAATGAGTGAGGCTTCGGAAGCCACTGCCAAGAATTGGCTTCAAAGACCTAACCAAAAGTCTACATCACAATCACTAACTGTCACAGCTACCTGTAGCTGTGCTAAAAACATTTAAGAATGAAATCTAATCATTTGTTACGAATTAAAGTAATATCTTGTTATTTAGTTATATGTTGAAACTGAAAAACTGCTAATCAATTTTTAAATTTGATAATCAAATTTGTCAAAATTTGACTTTTTGATTAGCAGTACTGCCAATCAACTGTGAAAAATTACCGACAGCCCTGATTTCACTCTATTGGACCTGGTGAATAGAACAAAAAAAGTTATTATCTAATATGTATGAAATTTATATACATCATTTAAATTAGTGAAATGAAAATGCAGATTGAATTTTAGCAATTTCTGTCAATTACTACTAGACTTATGACCTTTGTGTTGCTTTCTTAAACCTGAACAACAAAAGTAATCGTCTGGTCTGTATGAAATTTATTATTTGAATTAGTAAAACTATGTAGCATGTCGAATTTCAACAATATCTGTAAATTACTTTCACAGTTAAGCCCCTTGTTTCAGTTTGTAGAACCTTGTGAACCCTCAAACGACGAAAATTATGATCTGATCTGTATGAAATTGTCTTGTAAATGACCTCCCCCCCCCCCTTATCTACAACCTTTGTCGACCGCTCAGACGATTATTTGCTGTGGGTGTATGTTTCGTCGCAATACTAGTTTTGTATCATCTAATCATCTACGTACTCGAGATAAGATTTTGTTTACATTTTAAACAATAGTGAAATTAACACAAAAAATTAAACGAGAATTCAACAGTCCGTGCACGAAGTGCCGTCAGTCTGTGCCAATACGGCGATGATTTAATATTTGTAAGTTGAGTGTCCGTTAACCCGTCCACAAGCAAACCCGTCCACGGTTAAGGTAATACCGGTACTTGACTTGTATATTATTTAATTGATTAGAATAGATCACTTTTACTCATTGGTTGTTTATATTGTTTTATTTACCTAATAATCAACTAGCTTGGCTCGCCATCCCGACAGCGATTAGTTCGAGTTCAAATTCTTTATTCCTTTAAGCCAAAGACTCATCAGGTGTAACATATAGTACAGACAAATAAATAAATACAATATGTACAAAAACAATATAGTTCACCGATGTTTTTGTAATAAAGAACAATAGTATTGTTTGTTGATTAGCGTTATGATTTTAGACAAAATGGTAAGTTCACCAATGTTTTTGTAATAAAGTAGACCCGTATTGTTTAATTGACTTTATCCCATGATTTAAAAAATTGGCGATGGTTAATATTGGCTCAAAAATAATTCCTTAAATTGCGCCGGAGCCCCTTTTAGATTAATTGAATTCGGATAAAAACAACAAAGAGTGGCTACGTGCGATTTTATTCTTTGATACACGGGACATTTCTGTTATTCAAACAAATCTGCACGAGAATGACAACATACAAGTTGACAGTTACCATTGGTTTGGGGTTCATGAAGAATAGGCTTTTCTATCGAGCCTACAGTTATTCTTTTCTAAAATAAAATGAGTGCCTTGGATTTTTGTGTGGATTTGATAGCGGTTATACTTTACTAATATTCTCTGACATCGGAGACTTGAGTCGCGTTCATTTCATTTTTGCGGTAAGTACGAGCTTCTTATGTCTGATTTCAAAGCGCTTTCGACTTCCGTTGCAAGTTCTATTTATCACTTTTGTGACTTTCGCAGTGTACCCCCTCCCACCCATAATATTTTAATACGTCATAATACATTATTATCATATACCGGTGACAGTCAAGATTTGCTAAATACTTTTCGCTAGTAACACAGCGTAAGAATATATAGTCCCCGTGTCGAACCCAACATCTCATGTTTTCGCGCGTTAACCGCATTGCGGAGTGATTTACATGTATGGCACTGTGATTTATGAATGGTTGATTTAGATTAACTGAAGCTGCGAGTAATGAAGTTATGTGTAAAATCAAATCGAATATAATTTAAAGTTTGGATTTGATAGCAGCCAATAAGATGAAATGATATGTTTAAAAAATTGTAAGTTATTCATTGTTTGCATACACGTACATTGTGGCACCACGTTATACATGTACAGTGTGTTAGACGTACGACCGTAGCTGCCTCGCCAACGGTTAACATATCTTGTATTCAACTTAAATAAATTACATTTTTCGTCAACATGCTTACATCGGGATGATATCGGCACTCAAGCGATTCACCGTGAAACACCATAATTCACCACGAAACACCCTATTTCGCGGTGATTTGGCTAGCTGCCGTTTCGCTAGCGATTCTCCAAGATTCCACCGTGAAATAGAGTGTTTTTCCGCGGTGTTCGGCGATTATAGTCCCAAACTCCAGCACTGTAGTGTATGTGTGAAAGATCAAAAGTTCTAATGGTCTGAATAAGAACAGTCGTAAACTTTCTGGCTGTGGTCTGAAAATCAAAAATCATTTTTAATCGAACAAGGCATTAATGCCTCTTTAATGAATACATTGTCCCATAAACCTACTTATAATTGTTTTTCTTTCCTTTCCTTTTCAGATAATTTAAAATGAGTTGGGATTCATATATTGAAAATCTTGTGGGGCAAAGTAAAGATAGCAGTGGTCAAGCCCATGTAGATTCTGTGTCTATTATAGGTATAGATGGTGGTGGAAAATGGACCTCAGATGGACATGCACAGGTTAGTCATTGACAAAAAAAGATAATGAATTGTTTCAAATTGAAATATATTCTTTCCCGAATACTTTGTTCTTTTAAAATGGATTCATCCGTACGTCCATTATTCTGTCTGTTCCTCACACTTTTTGGGACACAATAGCTTAGTCTCTGTCATCCCAAAAAATATTCCAGGGATATTAGTCTGGATACGATGTCAACATTTGAGAATGATAGGTCATTGGTTAGATTATCAGGTCTTTTACATTATCATAAGCAAAGTCTAAGGGAGGTAAATAGTCTTAAAACACAAGATGTCGACGCCCATGAAATTAATTTAAGAATGCCATTTCAGAAAATCCATTGATTGCATTGCCAGTTCAATATCTTAATTTTTTATTGTGAAATTTCTCTCTTCATGGGCCATGTCTATAGTTTTAAATTAATCCTAATTCGTGGTCACGATTCATGTTTATGATAATGCAAGAATTATGGGAGTTATTGCGAGAAGGGGTGCAACTCCTACTTGACCTGGCCAAATATACTGGATAATCAACCACATAAAAAACCCCAAAAAACTCCCTGGTTATGCATGGGCAATGGAACTTGTTGTAAAATATTGACAATGGTCCCAGGCCCTCCGTAAGTTGAAGCCTAGGGGTTCTGGGTGACAGTGACTAATAATAGTTCTGCTTCTAACTTAGCTAGTATGTTCAAACTCAGTGTAGGTGAATCTCTTGACCAATGCTGAGCCGATCAGATATAATCAATTTCATTGATGAATGCTTTGGAACACAATAACTTTGATTCTAATTAAGTATGGTCGGACAATTTAGGACGTTTGGAAAATAGCCCCGGACATGTCCGGAATATAGGGGCGAAATCCCATCTCTGCTTTGTACACATATTAACCTGGACTTTTGCTTCCAGGGGTAAAAACTTGACTTTGTTTTTGGTATATAATTTATATTCTGGAACATACATGTATCTCATAAACTGTTCAAGATATATTGATGAAACTTTGGACATGTATCAACCTATTATATTGCATTAGTTATACCTTTTGAAACTAACACAGTTGAAACAAAATTTGTAGGACATATTTCACAGAAACCATTCAAGATAACTTATAAAACTTTGTTACAAATTTGTCTTATTCTTACATCATTCTTTGTATATTGTATATCTTTACATTGTAATTCTAAAAAAAGACTTGAATGTTGGATTTTATAGTATTATTGATCTGGATTTTAAGGTACCCTACCACAATTTTTATATGTCCACATTTTCATTGCCGTCGGCCCAGACCGCCCGAAGATTCGTCCACAATTTGTTTGTGGACACTCAATATTTCACAATTCTTATCCGATTTTGACGAAACTTAAAACATAGATTTATCTCCAAAAGATCTTGGTGCCTTCTGATGTTGGCATATATCGAATCGAAACTTCATGGATTTTGGCCCCTGATCAATATCACATTTTTATACGCCGTATATTGTCGTCGCCCCCGTCCGTCTGTCCGTCCATCCACAATTGTTTGTGAACAGTCTACAGGTCACAATTTTTATCCGATTTCAATGAAACTTGAAATATAGGCTTATCACCCAAAGGTCTCGCTTCCTTTCGATATTGGCATGTATCGGACTGTAACTTCATTTATTATGGCCCCTGATTGTACGAAAAATCACGTTTTTAGTTTGTGAACACTGTATAGGTCACAATTTTTATCCGATTTGGTTTAAACTTGAAATGTATGCTTATAACCCAAAGATCTCGGTTCCTTTCGATATTTGCGCATATCGGAACGTAACTTCCTGAATTATGGCCCCTGATTGTACAAAAAATCTCGTTTTTAGCTTGTGGACCCTATAGAGGTCATAGTTTTTATCCGATTTAAAAAAACGTATTATTATATCACCGTTACACCCTAAGGACGGCTGAGTTAGAATTTCATGAAAATCGGCCCAGAATTGAAATGTAAGTTTATAACACAAAGATCTCGGTTCCTTTAGATATTTGCGCATATCGAATTGTAATTTCCTGAATTATGGCCCTTGATTGTAGGAAAAATCACTTTCTTCTTAGCTTGTTCTCTATCCATCTCTTGCAAAATGTGGGCGTATCTTGCATGGCAACCACTTGTTAGCTTGTGGACCCTATAGAGGTCATAATTTTTATCCGATTTAAAAAAACCGTATTATTATATCACCGTTACACCCTAAAGATGGCTAAGTTCGAATTTCGTGAAAATCGGCCCAAAACTGACAGACAAAATGGCCGCCCCTTCTTCTCAAATAGCGTAAAAATATGGTATATCAAGGTTGTAGGCCCTATAGAGGTCACAATTTTTATCCGATTTTATTGAAACTTGAAATGTAAGTTTATAACCCAAAGATCCTGGTTTCTTTAGATATTCGTGCATATCGGACCGTAACTTCCTGAATTGTGGCCCCTGATTGTACGAAAAATTGCGATTTTGGCTTGTGGACCCCATAGAGGTCATAATTTTTATCCGATTTAAAAAAACGTATTTATGTATCACCGTTACACCCTAAGGATGGCTGAGTTCCAATTTTGTGAAAAACGGCCCAAAACTGACAGACAAAATGGCCGCCCTTCGTTCTTAAATAGCGTAAAAATATGGTATATCAAGGTTGTGGACACTAACGAGGTCACAATTTTTATCCGATTTTGTTGAAACTTGAAAATGTAAGTTTATAACCCAAAGATCTTGGTTCCTTTCGATATTCGCGCATATCGGACCGTAACATCCTGAATTATGCCCCCTGATTGTACAAAAAATCACTTTCTTTTTAGCTTGTTCTCAATCCATCTCTCGAAAATGTGGGCATATCCTGCCTGGCAGCAGCTGGGTTTTTTTTTTCTTTTTTGTTTTTTTGTTGTTTTTTTTTAGCTTGTTCTCTTCTCTGTCCATGTCTTGCAAAATGTGGGCGTATCTTGCCTGGCAACCGCCGCTTATATGAATGTTAATAATTGTCTTTCTTATACAGTCCCTAAGCATAGAACCAGCAGAGTGTGCAGCCATAGCCAGTTCTTTTAAATCAAAGGATTTCACTAACTTCCAGTCAAGTGGTGTACGTATAGGGAACCAGAAATACCAATTTCTACGAGAAGAAGACAAAAAACTGGTAAGATATGTTATTCTATTAGAAAAGAATTAAATGTATATTGTTTTCCTCAGCTGAAAAATGTTATGATTAAAACAAATGTCCTATAATTTGTTTTAAACAATTTTCAAACAATAATTGGTAACACTACTTTTCAGCTAAAATGTCTACCTGTGATAATCGAGTTGCATTGTTCAAGGTTCGTTTAATCTCAAGGTTTCCATGGAGGTCGTCGCGTTTGATTTGATTGTATTTGTGTCACAACCTCTGATTAGACGCTATTGTAAAGGGAGATAACGTAGCTATAAGTTCGGGAAGTCACAATTTTTATACTCAACACATTTTCATGTGGATGTTTTTTGTCGTTTCCCCTGTCCGTCCAGACGTCAGTTCAAATTTTGTTCGTGGTGTGGAGACTCTACAGATCACAATTTTAATTCGATTTTGACGCAACTTGAAATATTGATTCCTTTCAATATTGGCATGCAACTTCGTGGTTTATGGCCCCAGATTGTCCCTCTGGAGGTAACAATTTTTATCCAATTTAAAAAAAAACGTTTAAATATATATATCACTCGTTACACCCTGATTATCGTTGAGTTCGAACTTCGTGAACTGCCAGACAAAATGACTGCCCCTCATACGCAAATAGAGTAAATATGGTTGTGGACCCTCTAGAAGTCAAATTTTTTTATCTGATTTTGATGAAACTTAAAACATATCTTTCTTACCCAAAGATCTTGATGCCTTTCGATATTCGCGCATATTGGATCGTAACGTCCTGAATTATGGCCCTTGATTGTACGAAAAATCACTTTTTTTTTTTAGCTTGTTCTCTGTCCATCTCTTGCAAAATGTGGATGTATATTGCCTGGCAACCGCTGGTTATCCAATTTCAGTGAAAGTTAAAATATATGTTTATATCCCAAAGATCTGGGTTTCTTTCAATACTTTCGCATATCGGATAGTTACTTCCTAGATTATGGCTCCTGATAGTACGTTATATGCATGATTTAAATTAGCGAAACGAAGAAGCTTATTCAATTTCAATAATTTCTGTTCATTACGTCTAGAGTTATGGCCCTTGTTTCACTTTATTGAACTTTGTGAACACTCGATTGATGAAAGTTATCATCTGATATGTATGAAATTTATAATTTGTGAAACGGAGGTCTATTGAATTTCAGCAATTTCCGTCAATAATTTCTAGAGTTATGGTGGTTGTGAACCTTGTGAACGTTTGAATGACAAAAGTGGTCATCTGATGTGTATGAAATTTATATGCATTATTTAAATTAGTAAAACGAAAAAGCCTGTCAAATTTCAACAATTTCTGTAGATTACTTCCAGAGTTGAGACCCTTGTTTCAGTTAGTAGAACCTTGTGAACCCTCAAATGGCAAAAATTATAATCTGATCTGTATGGAACTGTCTTGTAAAGGCCCCCAATTACCTACAAAGGAATAAATAGGCGACAGCCCTTGTTGATCGCTCTGACGATTTAGCTGCTGTGGGCGTATGTTTCGTTGCCTGGCATTTTCTAGAGGTCACAATTTTTTTTTCCGATTTTAAAAACCGTTGAGATATATCACCATTCCACCATAATAAAGGTTGAATTCAAATTTCGGGTAAATCAAAATGAAACTGCCTGACAAAATGGCCGCTCTTTGTACGCAAATCATGTATGTAATAAAAAGGTTATGGACCCTCTAGAGGTCACAATTTTTATCCAATTTTGATGAAACTTAAAATATATCTTTATATTCCAAAAATCTCAGTCCCTTTTGATATTTGCGCATTTCAGACCATAACTTTCTAGATTATGGCCCCTGATTGTACCAAAAATTGTTGTTTTTTTTTAGCTTGTTCTCTATCCATCTCTTGCAAAATGTGGGCGTATCCCGCCTGGCAGCTGCTGGTTGGTCCCTCTAGAGGTCACAATTTTTATCCGATTTAAAAAAACGTTTTAGTATATCACCGTTACACCCTAATGATGGTCAAGTTCGAAATTCGTGAAAATCGGACCAAAACTGCCGGACAAAATGGCCACCCATTGTACGCAAATAGTATAAATGTATGGTATATCAAGCTTGTGGACCCTCTAGAGGTCACAATGTTGATCCGATTTTGATGAAAATTGAAATATAGCTTTATATCCCAAAGATCTTGGTTCCCATCGATATTCGCACATATTGAATTTTAACTTCCTGAATTATGGTCCTTGATTGTTCGCTTTTTATACGCCCACATATATATTGTCGTCGCCCCAGTCCGTCAGTCCACAATTTGTTTGTGGACACTCTACAGGTCACAATTCTTATCCGATTTTGACGAAACTTGAAATATAGGTTTATCTCCAAAAGATCTTGGTTGCTTTGGATATTGGCATGTATCGGATCGAAACTTTATGGATTATGGTCCCTGTTTGTACGAAAAATCATGTTTTTAGTTTGTGGACCCTATAGAGGTTACAATTTTAATCCTATTTTGATGAAACTTAATATGTAAGTTTATAACCCAAAGATCTCGGTTCCTTTCGATATTCGGGCATATCGGACCGTAACTTCCTGAATTATGGCCCCTGATTGTATGAAAAATCGTTTTTTTAGCTTGTCGACCCTATAGAGGTCATAATTTTTATCTGATTTAAAAAAACGTTCGAATATATCACCATTACACCCTAAGGATAGTTGAGTTCGAATTTCGTAAATATCGGACCAAAACTGACAGACAAAACGGCCGCCCCTCGTACTCAAATAGTGTAAAAAATATGGTATATCAATGTTGTGGACCCTCTAGAGGTCACAATTTTCTTTCAATTTTGATGAAACTTGAAATGTAAGTTTATAACCCAAAGATCTTGGTTCCTTTCGATATTCGGCATATCGGATAGTAACTTCCTGAATTATGGCCCTTGATTGTACGAAAAATCGCGTTTTTAGCTTGTGGGCCTTGTAGAGGTCACAATTTTTATCTGATTTAAAAAAAATGTGTGAATATATCACCATTACACACTAAGATCATGGATCCTTTTGATAATCGCAGATACCTGAACTTGACTTCCTGGATTATGGCCCCTGCTTGTTTGAAAAATGGCATTTTTAGCTTGCGGATTCTCTAGAGGTCACAATTTTTTTTCTGATTTTAAAAACCGTTTAAATATTTCACCATTCCACAATAATTAAGGTTGAATTCGAATTTCGGGAAAATCGAAATGAAACTGCCCAACAAAATGGTCGCTCTTTGTACGCAAATTGTGTAAAAGTATGCAATACAAAGGCTGTCGACCCTGTAGAGGTCACAATTTTTGTCCGATTCTGATGAAACTTAAATCATATCTTTATATCCCAAAGATCTCAGTCCCTTTTGATATTTGCGCATTTCAGACCATAACTATCTGGATTATTGCCCCTGATTGTACAAAAGATCCTATTTGTTTTTAGCTTGTTCTCTATCCATCTCTTGCAAAATGTGGGCATATCCTGCCTGGCACCCGCTGGTTGTTTAGCTTGTTCTCTATCCATCTCTTGCAAAATGTGAGCGTATCCTGCCTGTCTGCTGCTGGTTATCTGATTTTGTTGAAATTTGAAATGTAAGTTTATAACCCAAAGATCTTGGTTCCTTTCAATCTTCGCGTATATCGGACCATAACTTCCTGGATTATGGCTCCTGGTTGTACGAAAAATCACGTTTTTCAGGCCACGAAATTTCACGTGAACGATACCAATTTGTCACGTGCTGGGTATTGCGACTGCAGTCACGATACGATACGTATTGCGATTCATGTGCCACGATATGATACGTATCGCGATTCATAACTAGGTCATGGATTTATCAATAAAACAAATTAAATATGATTGTGTTTTTAATGAAGTTACTAAAACCAGGAAATAAATAAATTTGATTACTATTTAGTAATGTAAACTCTGTTTGAATAAAATGAAATTAAAAAAAATAACACTTCACAGAGAAATAAAGTTGTTGTCTTTTCGCCGCAGGTTGAACTGGCTGTCTTCTTAATCTTAGCAGACGAACTTAGTAGACAGTCGCCACTATGGTGTCTTGTCAAGTGAGTGCTGAGATTGGTTGTATTACCACAATATTTTAGAATAGTTTTGCATATTCTACAAACAACTTTCGTTGTGTCACCTTTTAAAAACCCAAAGTTTTCCCAAACTTTAGATTTATATTTCGCTGGAGGATTTGTTACTGTATCTTCCGCCATTTTGATTTTTACAAGAGCTAAGTATATTTATGTTCTAAATTTATAAAATTCTAGCGTAAAATGTTGTTTTATGTATTTAAATATGTATGTTTTATTAACTAAGCCTTATAACAAACTTAAAAATTCGGAAACAAAAAGAAAAGGCGTTAAAATGTTGTTAAATCTAAACCTACGAAACTAACGGTAATTAAGGTCATGCGCTATTTATAGTAACACACATGTCAAGACTACTGGACATCGTTTGCGAAGCGCCATTGTTTCAAATAAAGTTTAGGGTATAACTTTTAAAGTTCATAATATATTTGAGAAAATGCAAAAAAGAATCGTGAAAAATCCATTCGGCATCCCGCGATTCAATACAGGTATCGTGAGACAGTGAATCGCAATACATCGATTCAACGATATATCGTGCCAGCACTAGTGCGGTCGCCAGCTCAAAAACAAGCGACCGATTTCCTGGTTACGCAAATTGAAATACCGGTTACGTTAACAAATTTCATTGACAAATTTATTCACATTTGATCATTTTTTATACAGGATGACTTTGTGACACAGGTCTAAATTATTTGTATTATAGCACAAACTCCATTCATTCTTGGCATTTCATTTCTCCATCTTACCGGTACTTTGACAGATCACGTATTTTGACACTTTGACAGATCACGTATTTTGACACCACGTAGGCTATTGTCAATATTGACCAGTTGCAAGCAGGTTGATTTAAAAATGCCCCCACCCCTAATACTTTAAATGATTAGTTATGCCATAAATATTTGAAAGCGTACCTTTGGATTTTAAAACATAAATTGAGAAATGAGTTTGACTATATAACATGCCAGCTATATTTCCAAAGAATTTACTACACATGTCCCTTTCAGTTTTCACTATAGCCATGCTGTACGGTAGTACCAATGACCCGTATGTATGTCGTCAACTTTGATTCCCTCCGGCATTGCTCGAGCCATAATGTAAACGATTTTACTTTCCTGTCAATTTTAATATTATTTCATGACATCAAACAATTCTGTTTCCTTTTGAGACTTTGTGTATAGAGTGTATAGGTTAATAAATACTGTTTGTCAATCAGTCGCTACCTATGAGTGAGGCTATCTCATGCTACGTCTACGTCAGTGGTTCTCAACCTGTTTTTGCCAACGCCACACCTTGGAATGCATAAACAAAATAGCGGCACACCTGGATAAATATATATGATAAATATTTGAATTTTGCAAAATAAAAACATGGCAAGTCATAGACAGCATACAACCGTAGACACAGACTAGTCATAGACACATAGAATGACTCAAACTAAATAAAGAAAAACACAGCCATGAACTTACTTTATTGCAGTGTTTTGAACTGAGAAATTTTCTTAGTGTGCCGTTCAAAATTTTGCGGCACACTGGTTGAGAAGCACTGGTCTACGTGCTTGGAAGAATTACAAATGACGAGTGTAATATGAAGTACGTATGTAGTCTTCAGTGACGGAAAACAGTGTGGTAGCTACTATTCCTGGGGACACCGTGGGATTAAAGTCATAAACACTTAACCTCAAAATATAATATTAAATATAAAAGAATATAAATTAGTCAAGTTATTTCTTTAAAAAATACATTCACTGCAAATGGAAATGAATAATAATAGCACCATTTACATTTGGATAAAACATGAAAATAGCGCAACCATTTAATGTAACCAATTGGTTACGCAATGGTCATCTGGCGTTACCAAAGAAAATGGTTACGCAGAGCATAAACCCGCAACCATTTTCCTGGTTACGCCAAAATTTGAAATTTCATGGCCTGCATTTTCTTTTCTTTTAGCTTGTGGACCTTATGGAGGTCACAATTTTATTCCGATTTAAAAAATCGTTTGAATATATCACCATTACACCTTATTGACCGTTGAGTTCGAATTTCGTGAAATCAGACCAAAACTGCCAGATAAAATGGCCGCCCCTAGTACGCAAATAGTGTAAACATCTGGTATATCAAGGTTGTGAAACAATTTTGATCCGATTTTGATGAAACTTGAAATACATGTTTATCATATCGGATCATAATTTTTTTTAAAAAAAACTAAGATTTTGGTTCCTTTTGATAATCGCGCATATCCGAATGTAACTTCCTGGATTATGGCCCCTGATTATTCGAAAAATCGCATTTTTAGCTTGCGGATTCTCTAGAGGTCACAATTTTTTTTCCAATTTTAAAAATCGGTTAAATATATCACCATTGGACCACTGTAATGAAGGTTGAATTCAAATTTCGGGGAAAATTGAAATGAAACGGCCCAACAAAATGACTGCTCTTTGTACGCAAATTGTGTAAAAAGTATGTAATACGAAGGTTGTGAACTCTCTGGAGGTCACAATTTTTTATCCGATTTTGATGAAAATTAAAATATATGTTCATAACCCAAAGCTATCGGTTCCTTTCAATATTCGCACATATCGGACCATATCTTCCTGGATTATGGCCCCTGATTGTACAAAAATCACATTATTTTATAGCTCGTTCTGTCCATCTGTTGCAAAATGTGGGTGTATCTTGCATGGCAACCACTTGGTTTCTTTTATAGGTATTGGCCAAAAAGAAGGATTGTGGGGCCATTACAATGCAGGCTTCTAAAACTGGTATGTATAACAAATGCATGTGCATAATATTTTTTGTCAATTTAATTTGGAGCACAATTCCTCTTCATGCTGCAACACTGGACTAAACCTCAAGTCCAGGGTTCTAATAGTTAAATTGACAGGGAAACACTTTGAAATTGTAGGTTTTATACACACAAACTTTTCGTTCGTCAGTTATGCCCTCTGACTTACGCAAAATGTGAAATATGTACAAAGTTAGTGCACCCTCTATAGACGTATATTTTTGTCTGAAAGAAACTTTCTTTATATAAGTTAATAGACCGGGAGCCCAGGGGGTCAACCTAGCTGAAAAGTGTACCAATTTTCTCCTATATGGTATCAATGCATGTATATCTGTTATCATCAGAATGTAAGTCTGCCGGGTTTCTGGTGGTGGGTGTGGTATTCCACGCCCTAAATGCCATGATCCCCAACTAGGCTAGATTAGCTCAAAAGTGTACAACACGAAAATCTTACTGCAGTGTACCGTACATCTTCAGATATTACAAAAACACTCTGACAGACATTTCTAGTGGTGGGTTACCCCTGACAGAGCTATGTAATTGCCAGACATTTGTAGTGGTGGAGTATCCCTGACAAGAGTTATCTAATATTTAGACCAAAGCTAGGCTAGATTAGCTGGAATCTGTTCCACCTAAAACAGCTTTGGAGCTGTTCAGTACCAGCACAGGAGTCATGAATGGCCACTGCCAGACAGTTTGTGCGGTGGGTTACCCCTAACAGACACGCCCCAATATGCCACATTGCTGTGCGATTTTCATGTGGTACACTTTTGAGCTAATCTAGACTAGTTGGGGGGCATGGCATTCTGGGCGTGGACCAGAAACCCGGCAGACTTGCATTCTGATGATACCAGATATACATACATTGATACCATATAGGAGAAAATTGGTACACTTTTCAGCTAGGTTGACCCCCTGGGCTCCTGCTCTATAAGGCACAAAAGATCTCAACTGATTATAATTGCTTGTGGACGCTCTAGAGGCTGAAGTTAATATCCGATTGACATTAGATTTATACACAGTGTTTAAGGTCTTGAGCCTATTGATTTTCAGCGATTTCCGATAATTACTGCCAGAGTTATGGCCCTTGATCACTTCAAAAACTTGTGGACGCTCTCGAGGCCAAAGTTAATATCCGATTGACTTTAAATTTATACACATTATTTAAGGTCATGAGATGAAGACACCTATTGATTTTCAGCGATTTCCGATAATTACTGCCAGAGTTATGGTCCTTGATCACTTCAAAAAATATTGTGGATGCTCTAGCGGCCAAAGTTAATATCCGATTGACTTTAATTTATACACAGTGTTTAAGGTCATGAGACGAAGAAGCCTATTGATTTTCAACGATTTCCAATAATTACTGCCAAAGTTATGGCCCTTGATAACTTTGTGACACTCTAAAGGCTAAAGTTATCATCCGATTGACTTCAGATTGATACACAGATTGATCTTGAGACAAACAAGTATATTGATTTTCAATGAATTTTTATGACTTGAACAGCTAAATCCATGATATTAAAAGTTTTGTATACAAAACGTTAGCATGGGGCAGAACTTTATAAAAATCAAACAATTTTTTTCTGATAATTACTTCATGAGTTGTTGCTCTTAATCAGATTTTAGTGTATTATAAATGTTTCATTACCCAAAAAAGGAAAAATATGCCACCAACTCTTGTTGACTGCCCGGACGATTTAGTTGTTGTGGCCGTATGTTTCATTGCCTGGCAACCTATCTTTAAACAGATCTTTCAAATTTGATGTGTATCATTGTATTAATGAACCCTATTAATATTCTTATTTAACAAACTTCAGTTTTGCAGTTAACCCCCTTTGTTGAAAACTTGATAGAGGCGGTACAGTTTCTAACAGATGTGTTTCAAATCCAATTTGGAGCATTGTGACAGAGAGGATGACCCCTATCGCTTTCCCATTTTGCTGTTCATGTTGTGCGAAGTGTGGGCTTGCATGGCAACTTCTTTTTTAAGTCGTCTTCTCATTATCCACTGGGGGGGGGGGGTGGATGGCTGAATGGTTAGCGTGCGCGCGCTGTATCATAAAGTATGTCATTGAGTCGACTGGCGTGGTTTTCGAATCCCCGGTTGTACGTGACAAGGAGTAGGGTCGCCTGTCCAACCTCGTGGTTTTCTCCGGGTCCTCCGGTTTTCCCCTACGCGCAAGCGAATTATTGAAATAAAATTATACCATATGTTAATCCCGAAATGACCTAGTTTGTGTCGAGTTGACGTTAAACCCCATTTCTTATCCACTGTCTAGTGGTAACAAAGATGTTCGACTGATCATTTGAATGGTCTAGAATAAAAACAAGCACATGTATTAAAGATTTATTATCAGGTGAAAAGGGATGTAGCCAGGATTTGCTTAGTGGTGGCAAAAATATCTGCTGAAAGGAGCAAGTCAAAAAAAAAGTTGCCTTTTGTATTTGCTTCAGTGCAAATCAAATTTCCATTTATATGTTCAAATTTTTACCAAATTCACTTATTTTTCACCAATGATACAGAGACTCTGCCAGGGATTTAAAAACTTTTTGAAACCAACCGACTGAGCATGAAATCGCCCCACCCCACTCTGTTTCTCAATTTTTTTGCAAATATTACTATATTACTTTGAGATTAAAAATTAAAAAGATTCTTAAAACGGTGTTTGTGTTTCATTTGAGTACAACGAATTATGACAACAGGTAGATATTGATAATTAAAACACATTGTTTTATTTGACTTGCGTCTCACGAATTACAACACCAGTTACGACATCCAAACCTTTAACATTGGAGTGCCGTAGATTGGTCTGGGTGACCTATTTACGGCAAATATACAAATTTAAAGACCATAGAATTGTACAATGAATAGACCTACATAACTTCTAAATATAAATAAACAAAATACCAACTAATTTGGGATGATAGGGTCTACTACGGCACACAAAAATAAATTATGTTGTGGCAGACATGGTTTGCGTTGGTTTTTACCATGGGTTTGCCGTGGTAAATTTTGAGCGCCAAGTTTGTTTTGTATATAGAGAAGGACGAAGGGGTTTAAATATGACTGGGCGGCTTTCTTCGATTTTTTCTTTGTGCTGGGCGACAAAAAATAGTACTGTCCGCAAGCGCCCGGCACCGCCCGGCGTGGCTACATCACTGTGAAATTTGAATAATGGTAGATGGAAATGCTACCATCCTAACTGAAATATTACTGGCGTTCCACATAAAATCACATAATGCAAATTATTATTTAAACTTGAGTAGAGTGTTTTACCAAAGCATTACGGCTGAAATGTGCATTAACATTAGTTGTGTAATGATCGTTGGCGTTTTAACTTATTCCAAACTATTTTTGTCCCCTATCTACTGAATGCAATAACTCTGCTTTTAATTGTGGTAGATGTTCTTTTGGTGAATGTCTTGAGGTGGATGAGATCATCCTCGCTTGTTTCTCTGTACATACCTGTAGTGAATACTAAATCCCAAATCACTGTAAATTTGATTTAAAGACATAGTGTAGAGTTGAAATCAGTTAATTTATAATTTTTATACGCCCACATTTTCATGGGGACGTATTATGCCGTCGCCCCTGTCCGTCCGTCCACAATTGTTTGTGGACTCTCTACAGGTCACAATTCTTATCCGATTTTGACGAAACTTGAAATATAGGTTTATCCCCAAAAGATCTCGGCTGCTTTCGATATTGGCATGTATCGGATCGAAACTTCATGGATTATGGCCCTGTTTGTACGAAAAATCACGTTTTTAGCTTGTGGACACTATAGAGGTCACAATTTTTATCCGATTTTCTTGAAACTTGAAATCTAAGTTAATAATCCAAAGATCTCGGTTCCTTTCGATATTCGCGCATATCGGACCGTAACTTCCTGAATTATGGCCCCTGATTGTACCAAAAATCGTGTTTTTAGCTTGTGGATCCTATAGAGGTCATAATTTTTATCCGATTTAAAAAAACGTTCTGTTATATTACCGTTACACCCTAAGGATGGCTGAATTCGAATTTCGTGAAAATCGGCCCGAAATTGACAGACAAAATGGCCGCCGTTCGTTCTCAAATAGCGTAAAAATATGGTATGTCAAGGTTGTGGACACTATAGAGGTCACAATTTTTATCCGATTTTGTTGAAACTTGAAATCTAAGTTGATAATCCAAAGATCTCGGTTCCTTTCGATATTCGCGCATATCGGACCGTAACTTCCTGAATTATGGCTCCTGATTGTACCAAAAATCGCGTTTTTAGCTTGTGGACCCTATAGAGGTCATAATTTTTATCCGATTTTAAAAAACGTATTATTATATCACCGTTACACCGTAAGGATGGCTGAGTTTGAATTTCGTGAAAATCGGCCCAAAATTGACAGACAAAATGGCTGCCGTTCTTTCTCAAATAGGGTAAAGTATATCAAGGTTGTGGACCCTATAGAGGTCACAATTTTTATCCGATTTTGTTGAAACTTGAAATGTAAGTTTATAACCCAAAGATCTCGGTTCCTTTCGATATTCACGCATATCAAATTGTAATTTCCTGAATTATGGCCCTTGATTGTAGGAAAAATCACTTTCTTGTTAGCTTGTTCTCTATCCATCTCTCGAAAATGTGGGCGTATCCTGCCTGGCAGCCGCTGGTTATCCGATTTTGTTGAAACTTGAAATATAAGTTTATAACCTAAAGATCTCGGTTCCTTTCGATATTCGCGCATATCAGAACATAACTTCCTGAATTATGGCCCCTGATTGTATGAAAAATCGCTTTCTTTTTAGCTTATTCTCTATCCATCTTTTGAAAATGTGGGCGTAACCTGCCTGTCAGCCGCTGGTTAGCTTGTGGACCCTATAGAGGTCATAATTTTTATTCGATTTAAAAAAACGTATTATTATATCACCGTTACACCCTAAGGACGGCTGAGTTCGAATTTCGTGAAAATCGGCCCAAAACTGACAGATAAAATAGCTGCCCTTCGTTCTCAAATAGCTTAAAAATAGGGTATATCAAAGTTGTGAACCCTATAGAAGTCACAATTTTTATCCGATTTTGTTGAAATTTGAAATGCAAGTTCATAACACAAAGATCTCGGTTCCTCTCGATATTTGCGCATATTGAATTGTAATTTCCTGAATTATGGCCCTTGATTGTAGGAAAAATCACTTTCTTCTTAGCTTGTTCTCTATCCATCTCTCGAAAATGTGGGCGTATCCTGCCTGGTAGCCGCTGGTTCAGGTTTTTATGCACCCACATTTTCATGTGGACGTATATTGTCGTCGCTCCTTGTACGTGAAGAGTGTAAAGTATGTAATACGAAGGTTGTGGACCCCCTAGAGGTCACAATTTTGATATTGTACAAAAAATCACATTTGTTTACTTAATGAAGATGTTTGTGACTGATGTTTTTCACAACTTTGACTTTCAGCTATTGTTATAGCACATATTCCCGAAGGCTGTCAACAAGGTAATGGTAATAAAGCAGTAGGAGTGATAGCTGAGTACTTAGAAAACCTAAACATGTAACTGCAAGACTAGTACTAAAAGTATAATTATATATAATATAAATAATTGACGCAGACTCCACACACACACACACACACACTATATGTATCTACATTGGTCAAATTACCTCTTGATATTCCTTTCTGTGTATTGGCCTTTTGAGTAGTCATAAAGTGTATCACGGATCTTTCGGTACAGATTTTATCAATGTAGATACATATAAGGTATTTTTTTCTTCGTTGCTTTTCATTACATATAAAGAAATAACATTTGAAGGTTATTTATATTAAGTCAACCTATAAGTATCCTAACATCCACCTTATAATGCTCTTATTCTTTTTGTCATTTTGTTTTCTTGCTTAATTATGTTATGGGGAGCTCTTTAAGTTGTATAGCAGGCCAAGGAAAAAATACAATAGCTCATGTGTTCATTGCTAGTGTAATCCTATTGCTAGTGGATGCAAAGCAATGTCAAAATATTACGATTCATAAATCTTTAATCTTTTGGGATATTTGAGGTGTTGAAGCATTTTTATACTTATTGCATATCGTTTTATCTGTTTATAAAACTGATTCTAGTTATAAATTGTTGTTTTTTTTTTGTGGAAAATGTACATTACTGATACAATATAGCTTTAGTACCCATATACAAAAACCTATTCGAAATTCTCTTTTCATGTTAAATGTCTGCATCAGTTATTTGTTTGTTAAGGGAGGCAACTCTTGTAGCAGGGAGATAACTCAAACCATTCCGACCCTTTGTGGTACCAAAAGTAGAATATTGTTTTCCCAGCTAATTGTATAAAATATTCTCTTATTTCACCTTATGAACCAATTTTGTTATCTTAAAACTTAATGGTAGTCTGCTGATCAAACAGATTAGATCCGAAGATCGGATTGATTGACCAGGTATTATTGAAATTTACAATTTGATAAGTTATATTTAAAATAGACATGTTTATTACAGCTTGTTTATATCGTAACTATAGTACCATTAGCCTTATATACACCCACCAGTGATACTTTAGATTTATGTACTTTTTTAAAAGGTAATTTATTATGGGATTTTCTTAGCTCTTATTGGCAAATGTTGAGTTTCTTGTAGCATCATATATTTCTTTGTGAATTGTTATTTGTAGCTACTTAGAAAAAAGGAATTTTTTTTGTTAAATATTTTGAATTGCTGGGCGATCAAACTTTTTGAATATGTTTGTTATGAATTTTCATACTGATGTTTAATTTGATAAGTGTTCGGTTTGTTTAAGCTCAATGTAACTATATATTCACCATACTAGTAATATTATCTCTTCTGCTCTTGAAATGTACTAAACATAAGAAAACGATATTGGTCATTTTCATCATTACTGTCTTTGCTCAAAAAAAGCTATCTTCCCAAACTTGAACTTTTATCTTGATATGAACTTGAACTTTATTCCCGGTTTGTGCATGTATATTTTATATACCAGTATTCCAATGTTTATGAAAACATTTAACATGTTTGTCCAAATTATTGATCAAATCATTTTGAAAGAAAAGAAATTGTTAACTGTGTCTGTGTGTACTTTTTCTGTTTTGTACATTTTAACAAATGCATTCTTCATAATAAACAAAATGCCTGTTAAAAAAGAAAGATGGTTTTGTTGTTTTTTTGTTTTTAGATTGAATAACATGTATATTGCTTCCTTTTTGCCATTAAGAAAAGCATACTATAGACGAAAATTTAATTGGAGTTTACCCACCTCACTGATTGAAATAAAACATCAGGTCAACCCCCAAATCAAAACTAAAATTATACATGCATAAATCAAAGAAATACACACAAGCCAAGAGAGTTAGGGAGGGGGTTAGATGGTTAAATGGTTAGCAGGTGCCCGCTGTATCATAAGGTCTGTCATTGAGTCAAATGGCCTGGTTTCGATTCCCCGGTTGTACGTGACAAGGAGTAGGGTCGCCTGTCCAATCCCCAAATCAAAACTTAAATTATACATACATTTACATAAATCAAAGAAATACACACAAGCCAAGGTGTACATTTCTTTGGAGAGTTAGGGAGGGGGTTAAATGGTTAGCAGGTGCAAAACTGTATAATAAGGTCTGTCATTGAGTCAAATGGCCTGGTTTCGATTTCCTGGTTGTACGTGACAAGGGGTAGGGTCGCCTGTCCAACCTCGTGGGTTTTCTCCAGGTTCTCTGGTATCCTCCCACTGCTGAAGACCCCTGCACGCAAGTGAATTATTGAAATGCAATTGAACCATGTGTTAGTCCCGAAATGACCTAGTTTCTGTCGTCGAGTGGATGTTAAATCCCATTTCTCTCTTTGGAGAGTTGATGTCCATCTGTAACTGGTGTTGGTTCAAGTCTTTGTGGCAGTGACAGTCCTCGGCAAACCAAACTCAATATGATCCATAGTCTTCGACATTAAAAACACAAATTATTTGTCAATTTAAATCAACTTTGAAGTTGTGATCCTACCAGAAAAAGATTGGCTTCTGATATCTAATATTTAAGACAAAGTAAACATTTTACTATTGGTACATGAATCGTGTACCATAATGCGTTGCGGTGCTTTTTATAGCAAGGAACTCGTAGAACAAGGCTAGGCATATTCCTCATGTCAGATTGTATGGTGACACCATATTCTTATCTGGGGAGCATGCGCAATAAACACTATCAGTGTAGACTGGAATAACCAGACACTAGAGACTTCTGGCGTATTTCGCCAAACATAACTGATTTGAAATTGGAGTAAAAACGATTGAATGTAAATCAGTTTATATACATTCATATTACATTATTATATGCGCTGCGACCCATTTGTGTCAATTTCTAGGTGCCAAATATTAGTGATTCAGCTGCTTTAAAAAGGCCCCAAACAGCTTTATATTGGTCTGTTATGTGTGCTAAAAGGGGTGGGGTTGGGAGTGCAGTGTCGAATATCTTTCTTCTAATACTCCACTACAGGTGCCTTAGAGAAAGATGGCGGTATTAGTATGATAGGGGTTAGTATCGGCTTCTTCCTTGGGTTTTAACGCAAACCGACAAAATGAAATGAGGGTTAGCGTCTTTTCTGTGCCAACCGAATGAAGATAGCAGTATGAGTATGTGTAGTTTATACATCAAATTAGATAAAGAGCTAGCAGTTCTCACTATAATAGTTAAAAACTATATAATGTAAAGGGAAAATGCTGAAAATTTGTCAAATTGCTCCACTCTGAACCAAGTATTAGCATTTAAATTTTAGGCCTAATCTCGATCATCATTACTCAAGTCGGTAGGATAAAAAAACATAGCATCACAAATGGTTTCAGGGCTTATTATTCGTTTGAATACGCACCCAGGTGATACAGATGGATGATACAGGTAAATATACATTATATACAAGATCATACCAAAGGGCTAATAAATGTTTTAACCCTATCTCCTATCTCATCTGGTCTCCCGTGAACCTCTTGTGTAGGGATCATTTAAAGAAAGATAAAATTAGGGATAAAAATATATTGTAACGAATCAAATGAAAGCAGTTAAATTAATATATAAATTTCATTGGTTAAAGGTTTATAGTAAAATATAATTAATAGAATCAGTTAATAAGCTTCAAGCCATAAATAAAGTAAAAGCCTTGACACTTGAATGGCACTGATCTGACTGTATTGTTCATTCTATAACCTGTGCTCCAGATGTCTCTTAATAAGCCTATTGGCACCGACACCCCACCTTGGCAATTAAGTGATCCAACCACCAACACTTATTTAAGTCAGGCCACAAATAAACACAATAACCCAACAGAGGCTAGGGCACTAGCATTGGAACTATTAGACTCAAGATGGAGTGACCATCTCAAAATTTTCACAGGTGGTTCAAAATATTCTACAAAGGGAGCAACAGAATACGGCATATCAGTGGCGGACCCAGGATTTATTCCAGGGGGGTGACTAAAAGAGGTCAGGGGCGAAGCGCGGTCGACCAAAGGCGGGAGCACTAGAAGGGGGGGGGGGGGACATAGGGTGTCCAAAGGGGTTAAAACTATTTTGTGCTATTTTTGTGTCTACATGTATGTATACGTATTTAACTTAATTATTTAATAAAAAAAAAAAAAAAAAAAAACCCAAAAAACTTGTCCGATTTTGCGTTTTTTAAATCTCTCGGGGGGGGGGGGGACTAGTCACCCCCCCCCCCCTCTGATTCTACCACTGCATATACATACGCAAAGTAAAGCTGAACATCAGGAAAAGGCTACCAGAACACTGTTCTGTGTACACCACAGAACTGATGGCCATTAAAACTGCACTAGAATGGCTAGCTATGCAAACGCATCAAAAAGCTGTAATCCTGTCTGACTCTCTGAGTAGCATCAAATCTATTGAATCGAACTCCTCCAAAAACAGGCAGATCCTAATCCACCAAGTCAGGGACCATATTCATAAAATTAAAACCACTGGGTGGGAGGTGATCCTTGCATGGATCTCTTCCCACGTCAACATCTTCGGCAACGAACAGACCGACGCGCTAGCGAAGTAGTCCGATAGTCAATGTAAATTCGTCGGCTTTTCGGGTAGAAATCGTGGAATAAGCTTTATTTTGTAGGTTTTGATGTTTGATTACAAAAAAACAATGTTGACATTTTTTCTGAGTAGGTCTTCACAGTATGGGAGGCCATTATTTGAGGGTAGACATTTTGCGATAATATTCCAAATTATTTTTTATTTTCACCTGATTTATAATGTTACCGACATATCAACTGTGATTTGGCAATGTATTAATATTGGCGGCATTCATGACTATATCTCAGATTGTTTTCCATCATTTCATGATGATATTTCCAAGATGGCGCCCATTTTAAGCGGGAAAATCGGTCGATGCGCTGATTTCGATTAAGTAGTAGTGTTTGGTGTCAATATATATGTTTTCGGGGTCACAAATCCCATTTCTGACATTTACAACCTTGTAAAATGATCACATGTCCATATACTTAGCATATTACCAAGATGGCGGGCATTTTGGGCGTGAAATTGAAACGATGTGCAGATTTTGAGTAAGTGGTAGTGTTTGGTGTCAATATATATGTTTACGGGGGCGCAGAATCAATTTCTGACATTTACAACCTTGTAAAACGATCACATGTTCACATATTTAGTATATTTCCAATAATGCTGCCACTTGTGGTGGGAAAATCGGACGATGGGTTGATTTCGATTAAGTGGTTGTCTTTGGTGACATATATTTTTTCGGGGATTCAGATTCGGTTTCTGTCATATACAACTACGTAAAATGGTCGTATGTTCACCAATTTAGCATATTTCCAAGATGGTGGAACGTTTTCTAAACACATTAGCATTTATTTATCATCGATTTTCCTGGGAAAGTAAAGCCTATTCCTGGCATGAAGGCTAACAGAGCATAGCGGCAGCGTCGTGCTTACGCCATGTGCCCATCTTGCACCTGCAACGACCACACCAAGCGCTTACTACAAGATCTTTCTACGCTCGCGGTTACCAGTCAGACCGGAATACTTTCTTACCACACTCCAGTGATGTGCCTAGCAGGCGTAAGGCGTTCTCTCGCCACGCCTATAGAGACTGTGCCATGCTCACCCGTCCTCATTCACTTTCAAAGCAGAAAACAACCAATAACCAAGCAACCAAGAACATTTCATAGTTTTCTTGAGGTTTCCTCTTTGGGTGCTAGACTGGAGCTGATGGACGAGGCAAGCATATGGCCAGGGGCTTCGTTCCAGCCTGACAGCAACGTGAATGATAGTGGTGGGGACGTGGCTGTAATGAATGAAATGAAATGGAGTTTAACGTCCTACTGTTCTGCTCCTAACCTGGGCTAATGAAGACGGGCATACGCCATACAGTGTGCTATGAGGGAAATTTTGCCCGGACAGCGGCACTACGGCCTACTCTTATATCGAATTCCAACTGCCAAGGGATCTTTTACGTGCACGCCAATGTGTACACGGGACCTCGGTTTTTCGTCCCATCCGAACGACTAGACAGCTTTCCTTGTCAGCCCCTCCGTCCTGCATCACTGACAAGGGAGAACCACGCCGGAAAATCTGGATGAACTTTCTCGGCCAATGCAGGGATCGAACACCCGACCTCCAGGCTAGCGAGCAAGCGTCTTACCCACTTAGCCACGTGATCCCCCACGTGGCTGTAAATGAAATACTTGCCAAGAAGCCCTCATAGCATAGATTATGTTATCAACTGACATCCAAGATGAATGTAGAACGAATATGTGGAATGATATTGCGCTGGAGTTCAACTACTGCATTGTTGGATAATATACCTAATGGGTAAACTCGGCACAGGCTTCCAGGAACATGCTACAAGCTTATACATAGCCGAATTGGATTCAGAAACCTTTACAGTAATGTGTTTAGAAAACGTCCTGCCACAAACAAAAATATGCTGAATGTGTGAGCATACCACCATTTCACGCAGTTGTAAATGGCAGAAATCGAATCTGCGCCCCCGAAAAACAAATATTGACAAAAAAACGCGACTACGTAATCAAAATCAGCACATCGTCCCATTTTGACGCCCGACATGAAAGCTATATTGGAAATATGCTAAATATGTGATAATTTTACACAGTTGTAAAAGGCTAAAATGGAATCTGCTCCCC